TGCATCAGAAAGTGGAGGTACATGAGTGAAGTGTTTGAAGGTGTTTCTACAGCTAGTGGTGAATGCCTCTAAATTTCCAGCCACTGCTGCAAATGTCCAGTCTCATCTTCTCTTTCTCAACTCTGCACAGGGGCCTGTGTATTTCCTGGAAGACGGGAAATCCACTGTTGCTTTGAACGACGCTCTGATGTGGGCAAAGGTGAATCCGTTCTCACCTTTAGGAACTGGAATACGACTCAATCCATTTTGACTGCAGATTGTTTTTCTCCGTAATTAGTAGTTTTTGTAAAAAAAGAAATTTGGGGTATTTATCACCTTCATTTTGGTTGTTGAAGAATATGTTGGGAGGTGGGTTGGTGGTTGGAAGATATGAAGGAATAATATTAAATTTTATTGATTTCAAAAATAAAATATTTATACAATTCCAAAGGAAAAAAATACATATCTCGTTGGTAAATGATATTATTTTTACATTTACAGGGACATTGTAATTTACTTCAGGCCTGTAGGGCCAGCTTCTTCTACAAGACAGATACTTCTTCCTGATGCTCAGGCAAAGCCCTTACAGACAGATATCCAAAAGTCCTTTCATGTTGGGTTTCAATCTCTTCACCACTTCTTCCAACCTCTCTTCTTCTACCCCAGCTTTTCTGGTCTTCTTAAAGCCATCACGCAGGGTCACCCCACCCCCTGCACCCATCCACAAACTTCCCTAGAGGGCTTTGTGAACCCGTCTTCCTTTAATCCATACCAAGTTTGAAATAGTCATCCTGGGGAAGACTGGCAGGCAGATTTCACACATATGCCTCCTAACAACAACAGCAACAACAAAAACAAGTAACTTCTTACTAGGGTAGACACTTTCTCAGGATGGGTAGGAGCTTTCCCTACTTTTGCTGAGACTACAGAAATGGCATGTTTCCACCTCATGAAGATTCTGCTCATATTTGAACTTCTGTCCAGTCAGATAATGGCCTGGCATTCATCTCCTAAGGCACCACCCTGCTAGTGTCAAGAGCTCTGGCATCTTCGTCTTCTAGATCCTCGGGATCTAGATCCTCTGGCATCACTCTAGATCCTCGGGAAAGGTAGAGAGCTAATGTACTTATTAAAACTCATTGACCAAAATTGCCTTCTGAACTTGACCTTCCTTGCGCTCAGCTCTTACCTGTCAGCCTAACCCACATTCAGGACAGGCCCCAGTCCCCTTCCCTCCACCCATTTGAGTTCGTTAATGTACTGCTGTTCTAGTCTTCTAGGAAATTTACCTCCTCTGGAACCAGGCGCACTCTATGACTACTTCCCTTCACTTAGTCTCTTAAGACACCTTCTCAGTGGACATGCTGCTTGTGTCCACACTCAGCTGACCCGTCTCCCATACCACCCTACCACGGAAGTGGGTTTTCTTGACAGCCTCTCATCCACAACTTTCCCACATCTGGGCATCCTCACCACCCCAACAGTGGCTAAGCTCCAGGGAGTCTTGACTTGGACCCATCTGTTATCGCTCAAACAGGCCCCTGATCCTTCCGCTAAGATAAGTACTCCTGCCAGTAGATGGGGGTCACTAAAACTAAGAATCTCTAGCCTGCCTTCTATAATGGCTATTTATGATGGTTGTCAATTTGGACCACATCTGCAGTGAACTAAAACACAAGTGGTTGGATGTACTTTTGAGGGGTTTTTCTTAATTAAATTATTTGAAATGGGAAGACCCATTTTTAATCCCAATTGACAGCCTGTAAACTTAATAAATCTATCGATCTATCACCTGTATTCACTCTATCAGTTCTGCTCCTCTGGAGAATGCTGACTAGCCTCCTGTCCTTGAGAACACCCAAAATGGACTCTTTCTGCCCTCTTTTGCTGGGAATTTTCTCTGTCCTCCTAATCTCTCAGGCATGATGACTGACATGGACATTTCATATATACTCTGCCCAAACTACATTCATCTTCAGTGCCACCTTCTGTCCCCTCCTTGGTTGCAACTCCGAGAGCCAGCTGACCTTTGGCTCTCATGCAGCCTGCTCTCAGATCTGTACTACCTTTCCCACCTGCACGAGCCATCAAAGACCCCTGCCTCCACTTTCACAATAACCCCAAATATTTTGTTTTCCTTATGATCAAGCAGATAAGGACTGTCTGGTTGACTCTTCCTGGGATGTATATCACAACCGAGGATGTAGAAATTATTACTCTGAGCCAGGGTGAGGCATGCAGCCACAACAACTTCACTTCCGGCTTGAACATGGTATGGCTACTTTCACCATCCAAAACCCTGAAGACAAAAGGTGGACTGACAGGGATTACAAGAGGTATTCATGTCAGTGTGAGAGAAGCTGTCCCAGTTCACAGAAGGAGAGTCCTGAAAGAAGGCCTCTTCCACCCCTACTGGCACTGCAGGCAAGGCCATTAACAATCAGTATCTAACCTAGACTCGGAATTCTATAAACTTAAACTTTTTCAACCCTTCCTCATGGAAACCATCTTTGTAATTGGAGGTGAGATTCTGTCCTGCCCCATTCCACAGCTGCTTCCCAAATTACTATACAGGAGACTTATATTAATTATGTTTGGCTGGTAGTTCACTTTTATTACTAATCAGTTTTTATTCTTAAATTAATCCGTAATTCTTATCTATGTTTAGCCACGTGGCTTGGTACCTGTTCTCGGTGCAGCATTCTCTCATCTTGCTTCCTCTGCACCTGGCTGGTGACTCCTGACCCCGCCCTTCCTCTTCCCAGAATTATTCTAGTCTCCTTGCCCACCTGTACTTCCTGCTTGGCTACTGACCAATCAGTGTTTTATTAAACAATTCGAGTGATAAATCTTTTTGTTTTTGTTTACTCAATCTTGTATTTGATTAAAATTTCACCACTGAGGTCATTTTCTGTTGTTCCTGGTTCTCCCATCTCTCTGTAGCTTCTTTTAAGATCTTAAATGACTTTCCTTCAGTAGAGACATGGGGTCCCTCAATACAGTATCATATCCTCTCTCTGCTCTCTTGCTATGGTCTCTTGTGGTGCCATCCCCCTCTCCAAGGTAACGCGGACATCTACTCCATTTATTCCTGAGCTCATCTGCTTATAAGGCTAGCTCAGTTTCAAAACCCGTACTATCGCCAGAGGGACCCTCTTCTGGTGTCACTCTAAGCTCTATAAATGCAGAGATGCATCTATCCCTGGTCCTTGCTCCCAACTTTGTTAGTTCCTCTATATGTTGAAGGGTAAGTCTATAATCTTCCCCAATCCTCCCATATGGACTGGGATGCAGTAGCCCATCTACTTGTGATTGGAGAAAACTTGGTAATCTTGGTGGATGTCATGGACTTGGTGGCAGTGGGATGGGTCAGAGTCTGCATCTCAACAGATCCCCACCCACATAACACACATCACTGAGCATTCCACTTCAACCCAACTGCCAAAAAAAAAAAAAAATCAGCTCAGCTTTCTGGCCTCACTGGCACTGCAGGATCAAAGGTCCCTAGGACCCATTGGCAGCTAAGGAAGAAGGCACTTGTTTCATTCTCAAGAAGGATTCTGCTGCTATGTAAAGCAGTCTGGCCAGGTAGAAGAGCAAATTAAAACCCTACAGGACCTGGCATGCAGAGTCTGAGCCCCAGGGACTGATTCTAATACAGGACCCTCACTGTGTTCTCCTGTGGCCTCTAGGCTGGTGCCTCTCCTCGGCCTCCCACCTGCATTCTCCTCATAGTAATGATTACCCAGTCTCTTCAGACTTTTTTTCAGGAAATAATGAGCTGACCCCATGTTCAGTGAACCAGACGATCTGATAGAATGTCCTCAGGTCTCCTATCACTATCGGTCAGTTTGAGGCCCTGCCTGTGACCAGAATTCCAAGTCTTCATTTTCCCAATATTTCTATTCAGCTGTAAATGGCTTAAGACAACTATTGCTGTCCCTTATTACCGATGAAGGACTGAAAAGCTAAGTCCCCAAGACGGGGTCACCAACTTGGTAGAGCTGATGCCAATATTTTAGAGTGCTGGCCCAGGCTCTACCAGTTTTGCTAGAAGACTTGGTTTTGCTGAGAAACAAAAGAGTGAAGTATTCTCAGAAAATCCCTAATAACCTCAGCGGTGAAATTTTAATCAAATACAAATGCTGACCAGAGCAGCAATGCTTGAACACTCCTGACCATGGCAGTTAGCACATGAATGCTTCTGACCACAACTGAAGTATCTCCAGTGTTCCCATGGTTACCCACCTGGATATTCCAGTGTTTGAGTGCCCCTCCCACCACTGCCCCTATATAACCCAATAAACTTTCCCAGCTGGGTGCTACTATTTCTTGTCACAAGAGTTTGGTTGTGTTCAGTGGTTTCTTGATGCACCTACTTGTCGACTTTCACTGACCTGTGTAGATCTGTCTGCAAGACCTGGGATTTGAGGACCTTAAATATTAGGGTAAAATATAGTCTAATGGTGTAGACAATTTTACCTTAATTTCAGCATACCTTTATATATAAATGAAACAAAGAAAGCAAGGTTTCTTGAGTTGTTTGAGTTCAGAAAAAAGTTATCAGAAAAATATGTAAATAAATGCCAATAAGCACATACTAAATATTAACAAAGCAGCCATTTTCCAAAACTTTCTCAGGGCAGACCACTTTAAACACAACTGCCCGGCATGTACTATAGATTATATCTGGAAAAGCATGAAAGCAAAGCAGAAGGCCATACCCAGATTCAGAGGATAGTGCTCAGCACACCCTTTCACCAGATGGGGTTCTCTAGCTATGGTGCAACATCCAACAAGAATAAACATGTCTTATAAATTGAATGTTTGTTGCCGAAGGCATGAAATTGCATCCAAGGACAATCCAGGGAACAAAATGCACCTGAGGTAAAAGGCTCCTCTGCATGTTTTCCTGGAACCTCCCTCTCAGTTCCCCAAGGCCTTGTTCAAATGGGTCACCCATTTGTCCGTGTTCTGACGATACTGACAAGCTATTTGTTGAATCACATAAAACAGACAGATGTTTTTTAGCTCAATTACAGCTAAGACACCAATTTGTTTATTAATTAAATACTTCCACGACTGGGTCATTATGTTCTCATATTGTGGTAGGTGTTAGTGACATTACTTCTTCAAAGATACTTCACAGGGGTCCATCGCTGTTTCTGCCACATTTCTCATGGGTTTTTTAACAGACTCACAAGAAGGTGTTCCACTTCGCTTCACCTGAATTTCTCTATGTATATTGTCATCATTGCTTGATTTTTCTAAGATATTTAAAGTAACAAAGCATTAATTCATGGTTATGAAATATCTATAGCCCTATCAGTATCTCTCTCATACATCAAATATATTCAGCACTAGTTATACTTAATGAACAAAATATTTAAATCATATGTATAATATAATACATGAATGCATTACCTCCTCCAAATCTTGTCAGCAATGCCTAAAAATATCCAGGGTTTATTTTGGTACATTTGATATAACTCAGTATTTTTAGATATTGCTTCAGAAAGCAGCTGAACAGAGACATGATTTTGTACTTAGCTTTAGCATAGGTCATAACACAGTTTATAGAACTCCCATTACTCTGTCATACACGCTGCATGCCAGACTCCAGATCATTCAGTTCTAATATGATGGGCCAGTGGCAATTAAGAAATCTGCCTTTGTTGTCCCTTGAGACACAAGACTGAGGCAAATGAATATAGAAACTAAAGAGTATAAGTTTTGAAATGATAGCTTGTTTTACTGCTAAATGGAATTTTGTATTCCAGAAAACAGCCTGCAATTTAGTGAGATTCTGACCACACACAAACAGCAGAATCCTTAGTGTAGTGCTTCTTTCTCCTTCTATTAGCTTTCACTTCATAAAAGCTGACTTGAAGTAATCATTGTATCTTTTCATCAAAAAAAACTGACCTGAAATTACTTGAATAAAAAATATTAAATACTTTTCACATATTAATTACTCAAATCAAACTCACACCATTCCTCTATTCTTTGTGTGGCTCAAGAATCTAAGTGGCTAGAACAGGATTGAGAGAAGTAAAGAGCGATAATGTGTGTCCAGCATCCCATCCAGAGGGGATCCTCCCTCAAATGTATCAGCCATTTGGAAGAAAGAAGAGAATCACAGATCTTAAAGGGCCATCCAGAGGGTCACTAATAGGAATGCTGAAAGAACACTATGAAGGAGGAAGTGTCTACACAGCACTGTATTTTTTCAAATGTTTAACTCAAACATTCATTCTATTCGAAGTTCTTTCTGAAGTAATGAGAGCAAGCTATTTTCATTTCCTTGTTTCTTTCGTTTTACTTTCTTATCTAGTTATTTAGACACAGCATCTCACTATGTAATCCAAGCTGGCCTAAGACTTAAGACTCCTGCCTCAGCCTGCCAAATGATGGAGGAATTACACACATACAAACACTACCTTGCCTAGTAGTTTGGCGGTCAGTTTTTCTAAAGACCTGTGTGAGGTTTTAGAGCTTCCCAAATTAAATTACCACAATCAGAAAAGTGTTTTGGCAATTCAGTTAAGCACTCAGACATTTTCCCATCCCTAAATAAATCCAACAGCCATAAGAAAAATGAAGCAAGGAGATGAGAATGGAGCAAACTCCCTGTGGTCTTCCCACCAGGGTCGATTCCATACTGTTTCTACTGACAGTCCCACCAAGCTGGAGCCTTTATTACAAATCCCACTTGTAGAAAAAGGCTTATGGAAGTTTGCTTTATTTTCTTTTACTCTTACTTTTCATTGGAAAGTAACAAGGTATATTTCATTCACAGTTCTATCTAACAGCTCACTATCAAAAATAGTAAGGGCTAGAACTCAAGCAGGGCAGGAACATTGAGGCAGTAGTTGATGCAAAGGCCATGGATGGCTGCTGCTTACTGGCTTCCTTCCCATAGCATCCTCAGCTTGCTTTCTTATAGAACTCAGGTCCTCCAGCCCAAGAATGGCACCACCAAGCTGGCTGGGCCTTCCCACATTAATCACTAATAAAAAAACATGCCCTCCAGGCTTGCCTACAGCTCAGTCTCATAGAGGTATGTTCTCAGTTTAGGATCCCTCCTCATTGATGACTCGAGCTTTTGACAAGTTGATAGAGCCAGCACACAGGCCCTGTTCTAAATTATTTTCTTTTAATTAATTAATTTACTCTTTGCATATCATTGTGTGAATGTGGTGGTCCAGGATTTTGTATGTTTCTTGCCTCTCTTTCTTACACAGGAAGGAAACCATGCTCAGACATTTTCCCATCCCTAAATAAATCCAACAGCCATAAGAAAAATGAAGCAAGGAGATGAGAATGGAGCAAACTCCCTGTGGTCTTCCCACCAGGGTCGATTCCATACTGTTTCTACTGACAGTCCCACCAAGCTGGAGCCTTTATTACAAATCCCACTTGTAGAAAAAGGCTTATGGAAGTTTGCTTTATTTTCTTTTACTCTTACTTTTCA